CCCAATTTATCAAAAACTGTTCCAAAAGATTACAAATCAATTAAAGGTAATGAAATATTTATCTCTAACAAAGTTCTCTACTTATAGCAACTAGAAAGTGGCGTCAAAGTTACTTCATTTCCTTCAAGTAAACTTAAGAAAACTTTCTGTTAATTTGGAGTGATTTGAAAAACAATCCTATATTTTTCTATAATATCTAATAGTTCTTGAACTGATATCATAATAGCCAAATTTCAATAAGAACTCTTTTTCTATAAAATATGATGATTTTACTCATGCCTATTAAAACAAGCATGCGAATGAGAATTTTTGGAATAACTTTTAATAGAAACAAGATAGAGACTTGCGGTTTTCACCGTTAGAAAAGGGTAGAAAAGATGCATTGTATCATATGCTAAAGGTTTTTGAATGTTTTTGATGATTCTTTAAAGTACCGGAAAAATGTCTTTCTTTTGAAAAAGGAAAGAGCAAACAAGTGTTTTCTTCCTCAGGTATTGCTACAGAAATTGACTTAGAGCTTTAAGTAGAATATACATCACTTTTCAATGATTAAATCTAAACTTCTGAGTCTTACGAATGTTTTGGAGCTTCACTTAACGGGTTGCATATACATCTCTCTGAGTAGACTTGCTGTCAAGAGATCAATTGAGAATCTCACAAAAAAATTGTAATATACTCAAGTACAATTCGGTGCATCCTTATCTCTCCGTTCGATAGTGAGAACTGCGAGTCTGTAATTTGTTTCTATCAAAACTCATTCCGGAAATGGTCGCGCACATTTCTTTTTAAATAGGCCTTAGTATAATCGTCACATATCATAGAAATATAGTTCTTATTGAAGTTTAACTACTATGATATCAGTTCAAGAATAATTAAATATTAAAAAAACTAGAGCAGTGTCATTCCTATCACTGCATATCAAAAGAAAGTTTCCTCAAGCTTACTAAAAGGAACTAAAATGCGCTAGAGACTATTTTGGGAATACCCTAAGTATTTCGCAAGGAACTCAGATTTTACAACATTAGATTTTTGAAAATGAATTAGAGTTGAATAATCGAAATACCAAGTTAAATTGGAAATAAACAAGTAAGTTTTTCTGTAAAAAGTTGTATTTTTATTTATCTATTGAATCTAAACTGCAACAAAGTTCTATTTTTAGAACAATAAAATTATTACTTCAATACTTCTTTATGACCTTTTATTGTTAGGTGAAGAATTATGCATGGTTATTATGGAATTACCGCCGTTCATAATATTGAAAACTCCAACTGCTACGTACAGTGAAATGACAGGTAATTATAAAAAGATTAATATTACAGAATTTTATGGATTTTACAAAGACGTACTTTTATATTTACAAAATAAAATGGGTTTCATTCCTGTTATTACATTAGCTAAACCAACGACAGAATATAATGAATTAGTTGAAGGGGTAGCAAATGGTTTATTTGATACCGTTATGAGTACGATAATTATAACTGAGAAACGAAATAGAATAGTAGATTTTTCCATAGCTCTTTTTCCGAGCTCGATTAGAGTTATTACACGAAAAGTAAAATCTAGTCATTTGGATCTTCTTTTTTTTTAAACCATTTACATGGCAAGTTTGGTTAGTTATACTAGCCACAATACCTATTACTACTATATTATTATGGTACTTTGAGTCACAGAATGGTGATGCATCTGACAATACAATTAATAACAGAATAGGAAGGAGTTTCAGTTACACACTACATTCTATGCTCGGAACAGATTCGTATTATGTTGAATCATCTGCTGGACGACTCCTTACATTTGGTTTACATATTTTACGTATAATATTATTTGCAGTATATACAGCTAATTTATTGTCATATATAATAATATGAGGGGCTGCTCCCACTATATCCGGAATAGACGATATTAAAAATGGTAAAATTTCATCAGATCGAATTGGAATTGTGGTAGGTTGCGCAGTAGAAGATTATTATTTAAATTCCATATCACAACGAAAAAAAGATTATTATCCATTAAAGACAGCGGACGAAATTTATACCACGTTAATAAATGGTAATATTGATGTTGCTCTATGGAATAATTTAACGATTGAATACCATACAAATAATATATATTGTGATTTAATGCCTGTAGGTGTTGAATTTTCTCATAGTTCATATCAATTACCAGTGAAAAAAGATTGATTATATAAAGCAGATTTAGACTTTAATATATTATCATTAATTGAATCAGAAGAACTTGATCGTATATCATCAAAATGGCTAACACCACATAGCTGTAGCAGAGTAGATCCATTTGATACGAAAGGAAAGTCAATTACATTAGAAACAACCGGTGGATTATATATTACATTTTTCATTTTCATTATTACATCCATTGTAATACATTTTGGTCAACGGTGGGTTACTTCATACAGAACAGGAGGTAGCAGACGCTGAAGATCCTTGGGCATTCACAGTAATCGGCCAACATTAGTTTCTTTCGTTTCTTCTCCAACGACATTGGTTTAGCTTTCTAATAAAGATTAACAACTCCATTAGTAACCATACTAAAGGATATTCTTGCCTTCATTCTCTCCGTATTATTGTGGCGTGAGTGGGCGTATGTGTGTAAAACTAGCACAATTTTCTAGGTATTTCGAGTTTACTCAAAAAAGGAATCTTATCAAGTGGCACTAGGATGCATGTACAAAATATCCAGAAATCTTTTAACTGAATTTCTGAATCAAATATGAAGTATCATCTTCTATTGCGAAAAGCGAAATGGGAAGCACATTGTTAAAGGATGTGTAGAGTTACCACAATACAAATTAGGTGAATAAGAGGAATAGTGATATAGAAAACTAGCTAGTAGTCGCACGATCTGGTTTGTCGTCAGTAATTTATTTCATGGATACTGATAGATATGAAGTAGCTTGTAAATTCACTGTATGAAGTGTTGATGATGGTTGGTTATGGGTCATGTGTAGAAGAGAAGTGATAGTGAGTGCAGGCTTATGGAAAGTACGGATTACAGTTTGGTTTTGGACGAAGTTACTCAGGAAGTTTCGTATTTCCTTTCGTGATGTTCATGATATATTGCGACGGAAGAGATATGTTTTTGTGTTTAATGTCACCAGTGCGCTTTTTAGATGGATTCGTTGCATTTTGAATTGTAGTATTGTTGTATGGTATTCGTGCTGCTTTCAATATGAGATTCGTTTGAAGATGGACTGTTTTAGAAACGAGCTTTTTTTGTGGATACTGGAGTGAAATTCGCTTTGAGTAGTTTTTCTTTCGACAGGTTCAGTAGTCCTATTGCCGATGGTGTGAAAAGCATTGGTTGTTCGAAGATATCATGACGGTTTCAATGGTGTGGGAAGGTTTCTCTGATGTTCGGTAAACATTCGTAATACATTGTCTGATTTAGATGGTATTTTTCGAATACTGAAGACTATTTTGTGGCATACATAAAGGAAATAAGGATGAACTTTGTGAATTAGTTGAGCGTGTGATTCGACTACATCTTATGTTGGGCTGGTGGTGTCGATGTTTTTTTTTATATATTATTGTCATCTGAAATAAGATATAATTGTGTATAACAGGTTCTGATTCGAGTTTTGAATAGCTGTAATATGATCATTATTTATGAGATACAGAGAAGAATAAAACAAAAAGAAATATAAAATGACATTGTAGCTTTTGTACTTTAAGTTTATTGACAAGTTCGGCTAGTGTTAAACGAAAATTTGAGAAAAGTATTGTATATTGTGAAGGAAAGTTAGAAGGAATTTGTTGTGCATTTAATATGGACATTGCTTTTCTTTTCCAATATTTTGACAATGTCAAATACCTAATTGGTGGTCTTTTTCGTAGGGTTTGGGTGTTGATATGCGTGCATATGGGGATGCATAGTCTATTTCAGGCACGCCCTGATGCCCACACACCTACACTCAAGATGAATAAATCCATGATATGATTGATCCGGGTATTTTCTCGTTTTGCTGTTGACCCAAAAATTGTGCATTAAAAATCCTACTCACATATATCGATGTATTCTATATTGAATCAAACATGAGAATATACAGACACAATGTATTTTCGCTGAGCGAAGGTTTTGACAACTAATAGATAGGAAGCTTCGTCTTCAATCAAGTCCCAACTTTTAATAATTTAAACAAAACAAGTCTGCATCTTTTTGTCAATCATATTTTCAGATATACTTTCTAGCGTGTTTGAAATTGTTAAAATTAGCTATTGTAAACAATTGAAATTCAAAAAGAAAGGATTAAACATTTCACTAATAAGATTTATTTTACGCTGAAATAAGAGCATTTTAGATACAACAAAATTTTGAGAAAAATCAAATATAGGATTCTTGTATATTTCATCTTGAGGGCGTGAGTGTGGGGTGTACAGTGTGAGAGTGTGGGTGTGGGTGTGAGTGTGGGTATGGGTGTGTGGGGGGGGGGTGAGTGTAGGTGTTGGTATGCAGTGCGTGAGTGCGTATCGACGACGAAAAGATGCACACTCACAATCCATACGCCACATTCACCCACACCAACAACCCCACCACCACTCACATCGACTCCCACCCGCACCGTAGACATAGACCCCACACCCACATCCACACCCACACCCACACCCACACCCACACCCACACCCACATCCACACTCACACCCGCAAAAAATGCAACTATAACAAATTTAATTTATTTTCATTATTTTTCTCAAAAAATGTAAGACAAAAAATATTTACTCGAGATTACTAATTAGTACTATGACCATAATATTGTACGACATGCATGCATGTCGAAGTATCTTTTGTATCGATGATACTTCTAATTTTGCTCTACAAAACCATAGATATCATTCATTTACTTCGAGAGAGGGTGTGGGTCAAAGGAAGAATTGCACCCATATCCAGAGATGACTTATTACAGTTGAATTTTGTCCATATATAGATATACATTAAATTTTTTGCTTTTTGGGTTATTTTACCTTGATATATACAAGGTACACTATAAAAATAGGAATACGATAAAAAAATGAAATATCGCCGTGTCGGCTCAATCAAATAGGCTAATTTTTTCAAACAAAATTTATTTGTTATCAAATAAGAAAAAAACATGCGTAGTGTATCAAAGGTAATTTTCAGTTGTCATTTTAGAGAATGATCAGAAGAAGTCAAAACAAACTCTATGAATGATACTATATTGATGTCAGCAGAATAAATTTTCAGAACTAGTAACCTAATTTACAAGTTCATGTTAACGAAATTTCAAATTATCAAAAGAAGGAACATTGGTTTTGCAAGATAATAATACTTTTTACTTACAGAGCACGAATTTTATCATTTCAACTAACTATTCGTTTTGAAAACTTGTTCTGTATTCTTTAATAGAGTTCGTTTGCATTTCTTTCTTATTCACTTCCATGGTAAGTGACAATTATCTATGGAAAACTTCATATATATTTTTCTTAATAGTGGTATTTGTTTTCCGTTATCCGTATAGGAAAAAAAAACTTAATATAAGTTTCTGCCACCAGCAAAAAGAAATCAGTCCATTCGCAAATTATTAAGTTTATTGTTTACAAGATGATAAGGATCATCCATTAAAATAGTACAGGCAAAAATCACATTTTTTGACAACCCTCTAAGATTTGGGCATCTAGTATAAAAAAATGAACTTGCAGAGACAGTCTTCTCGTTCAAATATGTTGCTTCTTTGTTACTAAAAAGTTCATTAAATAAATATATCAAAAACAAAAATCTATATATGAATATTATTTGTTGCTCAGTTTGCTTTTCCGCGATGAAAATCTTTAACTCAAACCAACTCAATATGAAAAAGTGGTTCGGTCATTCTTATTGATTATCTCAAATCTATATCTCTATATTGTTCATTTTATGTAAATTATTCATATTTTCTTTCGTCAGACATGGAAGAGTTATCCAAAATTCTTAATTTTCCAAAAATCGGTTTGGGATAAAAAAATCAATGCGTTTCTCGAGAAATTTTACGTAGTACTAATTGGAGGGATGTGGGTGTGGGAGTAGCTAGAGAGCAGACTCACAGCCACAACCCACACACTCACACCCGCCCACGCTCACACGGACACTCTAATGGAACAAAAAACAAAAGAATCTGTGACTTTCATGACTTTATTGAATAAACCGTTGACTACAAGATAAATAAAGTTTGGAGTGAAAATGTAATAAAGCTTCCTGATGAAGAAAGCAGTTTACCAAAGATCCTAACAAAAATCTCGTAGAACTATCTCTCAAATTTTTTGACCTTGGTACAGATTGACGGCGCCTTGTACTCACTTTCGAGTGATCACAATTACAGATTGCTAGCTGTTTGTGTTCTGGAGCTATTCAATTTCCTCTGGCACAGATTCTATCTTGGAAAAGATATTAATTGCATTTGAATTTCAAGCATCGGCTTTTTTCTTCGGGTTAATATTTGAGAAAAAATGAAAAATGGGAAAGTATTGGGACCTTGGTGTTTATTAAGGAAAGCTGCTCTGTTTATGGTCACCGATAGTTCACTTTTCTATGTATTAAAAAGAATATGAACAAGCAAAAATCAAGATTTGAGATCAAAAATCTATGGGAAATTATCTATTGTGGTTTTCTCTATCATATATCGAGTATTTATCTTCCTTCTTTCACTTGAAGCTGATGAACAAAAAAAAAGAAGCTTCAGAAATAAGGAGAAATGGCAGTTGTCTTTAAAAATATTTCTTGATGACAGTAAGATGTACGAGATACTATCGAGAATACATTTTTATCAAAAACCTAAGATAAGACTGATTTTGTTTCTAACTTATATATCAGTAGGAATTCACTGAGGCTCAAGACGTAGAGAGAGAGAGAGACAGCTCAAGCCATACAGAAGAGGGTGTAGATCAAGTGGATAGATTAAGAGAAAGTCAAAGATAGTGGAAAAGGTGAAAAATGAGAAAGAAAATCGAGAAACAATAAGAAAATAGTTTGAAAATATTAACTATTGTGTCCGTTAGAACTTCACTTGTTAAAGCAGCTCATATATATATACGAAAGCTTTTAAAGCTCTTCATTCATCTCACCTTACAGCTTTCCTTTTCGAAAGAAAAGGAAAGTGGAAGTGCCATCTCTAGTCAAAGTATAAGCTCCACATTTCAGCACCGGAAAGGATGCACTGATAAGTTTTTTATAT